TATGCTCTTTTATGTGAGGTGACAGAGGTTCTGGTACACAACTGCTCAAGTGCAAATTTAGACCTCCCCTTTCTTAATACACGAGTAGTGAGGACTTGCAAATGATTTTTCTATTTCATGGGAAGCCATGTTGGAAAAACATACATAATTCTCATATTGCTGATATGTGATACAAACCAGGAGGTGCTCCACATGACTACTTGACTTAAGGCAACACAAAGCCTCAGGTGTAACTGAGCCCTGACTCTAAAAGTGCCTTGAGCAGACAGAACTGCTCCCCCCTGAACTGAGCCCCATTACTTTCACCAAGGTCTTGCAGAAGTATCTGCTCAGAGAGACAGGATTTCAGGATTAGGGCAGATTTCTAAGCATTTCTGGTTGTAATTTTAAGTGTGTGGAGATTCCTATTAGGCAAGTATTCCCAACTTAGAAAACCAGTGTGGAGTGTTAAGAGTACTACAGTAAGGAAATTTTTCCAGACAGAATAGCACTCATGTGGCAGTTTACTAGCATTTACAGGGTTACTTAATTCTCCATGAATTCTACCCTTCTGGGGTTTACAAATGAACTAAAAGAAAGTATGGCGGATTATATTTCTCTTTAGTTCTAATATTTTATCAGTAGCTGTGGAAATGAACACTAGAACTAATAATGCCTCCAATCCAACAACTGCAAAACATTGCAAACTTCACAATATCTCAGCACACCATCAGGAAATAAAAACCTTGTATTTCTTTAAAAGGGCCAGTGTCCTCATCTGGTTGGAATGGAATGTTATATTTTCTAAAAAGGCTAGATTATTAGTCTGAAACATTCAACTTACTTCAACTATAAATTAAAATAATCAGCAATAATTTTATCAGTAACTGAAAACTAAATCACAAGAAACCAAGAACTGCCAAAATGGGGTCTGATCCTACTTGCTCTTCAGGGCTGGATCCACTGCATCCAACTTCTGAGAGAAGTACTCTATGAGTTTAACAGACTTGGATCACATAAGCAGCTCATAAAAGGTATATATTTTTACTTTACTCTGTGTTATAATCCAGGTACAGACAAGAGAAATATATAAAGCCCTACTATTAGCAGCCCTGACTATGTAAATGAGAAAAGGACTAAATTTTGCAAACTGCATTTTCTTGTTTAGATGCTGTACTCCTGCTAAACAGTACAGTGTCTTCTACAATCACCCATGTCACCCATACCACTTCCTGTAGCACCCCTTTTCTTCAGAAATTTTTCCCTCTTTCATCCTGCTGACACCTCTGCCAAATTTAAATGAGACCAAAGTGATGAAACCACAGGCATGTGTAAGGAAAAAGAATTTAACTGAGGAAAGCAGAAAGTGTCTCTTAAAATAGAAAACCTGTTCATGGGTCCGTACAAGTTTCTCTCTTAAGCCCCATGGCTTGTCATTAACCAGTGCCTACTGAGCACGTAAGTTTTGCTGAGTCTTTTAGTAAACATTTAATCTTGTTCACTGTTCTTCTCAAACAATTTTTATTTTCAGTAATAAAGGTCTTATTTTCCTCTCTCCTATCACCATCTTACTCTGGAGATATAATACGGCTTGTAACTAAACTCTCAAAAAATGCAGTAATGGACAAATCCTGATTCTGAAGCTACCAAAAGTCCCTTGGTAGCAGAACTGGTCCTGTTTCACCTCTCCCACTCCCTGGGTCTGTGCATTTCCTATCTATGTAAGCAGTTTTAAGGTCAAATGGAGGTCTTGTCAGAACAGATTTTTCAAGGTCTCTGCCTTAAGGCAGGACACACAAAAAGGGTCCAAGGGTTTATTTCACCTGCAGCCTCACTTCAGATCTTGTGTCAACCGTCAGCCAACACAGCAAACGCAGAGGTTCAAGGAGAAGATCATTGCTCACACTTGTACAGTACTTCTCGGGTAACAAACGTGAAACAGGAAACCCAGATGCTCTAAGGCTGACTGTTTTTCCAGAAAAAGAGTTTAAGGAAGCCACCGAGGCCTAATACCTCTTCCTTGAGAGCATCAAAGAGGAAGGAGAAGCTGTCCAGCCCCAAGGAACCCTCTTCCTAGCTCCTTGTCCCTTCCCTGCTCTCCCTGCTGAATCAGATGATGAGCCATTTCTTAATTAATTGTGTGTAAGGTCAGTGTATTAAAACCCATTAAGTGAGCACATGTTCCAGACTGCTTTTTAAATCTGGATCATTTTTCCACATGGAATTTATCCTGTAGGATAAATTTATTCCACACCCACTCCTCTAAATCGAAAAGAGTGCCATGGGGACTCTACCTTGAGATTTTCTGCCCTCTATCTTAGAGAATTTATTTGCTTGTGATGCTGATATGTTCAGTCACCATACAGAGAGAATAACTACTCTTCTGAAATTTAGAAAGATGTGGTCCTTTCCTATGTTCATTTTTGGACTTGCAGTTTGACTCAGCTTCTGCTATTCAGTGAAGTGAATCCCCTGTGCTTTCAGCCCACATGAGCTTGAAGATATGGACAGAAAGGAACTCAGAATCCAAGTAGTAAGTATTCAAATAAAGGTATAGTTATACCACAGACTTGACATAAACAGAAGGTGAGGAAGGAAGAAGAAAGCTAAGCCATACTCATACCAGTGAAGTTAGATATCAAACATAGGAGAGGGGTCTACTTAGACTCTGAATTGTCCAGTTATGAAAACATTCCTCTTGAGGGAAATTCAGGTCAACTCCTGCCCTGCCCTGCCCTCTGAAGAAACTGCCCTTCCATCAGCTACACAGCCTATGGAGACCTACCTCATTTTAGTGATCAGCACTACCTGAAGCTAAAACCTAGGAATAAATGGCAGCGGGGTTGGACTAGATGATCTTTCGAGGTCCTTTCCAACCCTAGGATTCTGTGATTCTGTGAAATCCACAAATACCATATGCTGGTTTACTGCTATTCACTATATTGCTACAACATTACAGCATAATGTGAAAAATCCCATTTAACTGGGCTAGAAAAAAACCCTATTTTGCTGAGCCTGCATCCTTAGATAAACATCTGTCAGTTCACATCTCCATCCTCATCTTATGAAATGACTCCATGTTGAGTATTTCTTTGGAGAATAAAAATTATGAGGAAACCATAACCAATTTCTTGGGAGCAGATTACTTAGAAGCGAGGGATCTGTAATTAGGCTTTGGAGAAGAAGAGCTGCTGTGAGCCCCGTGTCCTAGCAGAATCTAGCTGGCATGAATCACACATGCTGCTTGCAAGTAAACGTCCTGCGTTTCAGCTGGAGGCAGCTCTGAAAAGACATTCAGTGCCTCAAGCACGCATTCTGGCCTAATATCTCCTCCCAGTGGGCTGTATTTAACCCACACCAGAATAAGTGGAATCTTCAACTAATAAATAATTTATGATTCTCTCGTTACATCTAACACCATTTGAATAAAATACATGCTTGTTCATACCTCTAGGCATGTTTCAACACAAGCCATTCTTCTCATTACTTTCACTGCCTTTAAGAAATTACTGGCTGCCCAAGAGCCCCTAACAGCAGTCGAGCTCCTAACGCAGTTGTTTGCCCGCCCTGACCATGCTCCCCCCACCTCCCCGAAACCAAAAAGCGGCACTTGAAATTTCCCCTTTGAGTCACTCCAGCAGCTCCTTTTATAGCGCCCGGCCCCGCTCGGCCCGGCCCGGCTCAGCCCGCCCCGCTCCGGCACCGCCGCCCGGCACAGACCCGTCCCCGCGCCGGTAAGTCAATTCGGATTTAAGTGTAAAAACGCCGGGTATCAAACAGAATCGAGAGATTGCTCTTTAAATTAAATAATAGCATCCTAAGCTGCCGTATTTCAGCAGTAGGGAAGATCTGTTCTGCATGCTACGGTACATTTTAATTTTAGCAAGGAATCAGCAGTACTGCTAGTTGTGATGCTAAGGTTGGGCCTCAGAAATATCCTGGTAACTAAAGACATTTACTTGCATAGCTGCCAAATATGCTAAAAATAACCACCTTAATATGAATAATGTGAAAGGAAAATATATTTATTGAATCTCAGTTGAATCTACAAAGTGTGCACATCCAAGTACCGGAGACATGATTTGCTTCCCTGCATTGTGAAACCTGCCTTGAGCACCAGCTCAGTTCTGCATCCCCTCTCCTACTGCATTGCAATGCTTGCCAATGTAGATATCACCATGGATTCCATAACAATGGAATCTTTTAAAAATCAGTTATCCAGTTTTCTAGAACTGAAGACACTTAAATAAATGCCATAACTTGCATTGCAATATAAAAACAAAACAAAACACAAACAACAAACATGTACTGGTACTTTATAGTGCTCTTCTGCCATCATTTTTACAAGCTAGTTTTTTTTAGTCACTCTTGGGAAGATTGCTTTAAATGCTTGGCTACACGTGCCAGCTGCAGATACGAAATAAAGACAGAACATGTCCTAACGCTCTCTAAGACTCTAAGTAAGTGAAGTAACATCAAGATCAGCCTTTCAAGAGTTTGCAGTGGTCAGAAACACTCACTGATGTAGCCAGGCTTATGTAAGTGCTTAGTATCAACAAGATGCAGTCAGCAATTATAGAGGTAAAGAAAAAAGGAGCTTTTCCTTTCATACAATAAATGTGCACATTCAGTGCTTTTGTTGCAAGATAGTAATAATCAGTTAAATAAGAAAAAGCAGGACAGCAGCTAAACACATCTGCCAATTTTTAACTGTGTTAGTCCACACTGCAGAAACTGAGTATGGATTTTCAATATTGGCCTTTCTCTGCTTAAACTCTAAAAAAAACAAAGTGGTTGTAATGCTAAATGTATAAAAAAGCTTCAAACAGTAGCCTCTAATTAAATATATGGAAATAATATGCAGATATTCCACCGCAAGTCTATGCTTAATTCTTTGGTCAATTGTGTTATGACTTATTCTGAAACCAAGGACAACAGCAGCAAGTAAGCTGACTATTCTTCTTTTATTTTCAGAATCAACATAATACAGATAGAAGAGGAACACAGTGAGAACTAACAACATGAAGTTGATCATCTTCCTCACAGTAACCCTGGGCACACTTGTCACAGGACTGGATTCTGTAAGTTTTGAAATAAATAGTTGGGTGGTTGGAACCACTTCTGCTTTTGATCACTCTGCTTCCGACAGAGTAAAAAGGCTTTTAGCTTGAATTCTCCTTTTTGCTGCCTTTGCATATACTTATGCATCTGCTGTACATACACCTCTAAGAAACATGTTTCTGAACCCTTTGCTTTTACTTCTGATTCTACTCTATCTTAAGATGTCTGCTAACATTGAAATAGTGAAAACATCATACAATAACCAAGAAATCTAGCTTTCCTACTTTTCTCTTAATGCAATTTAGACCTGGACATTAAGTACCAGGAGCTCACTTGGTCTTTCATGGAGGAGGACATCAGGACTTAACTAAATTCCTGTCTCCCCTGTTTGAAAACATGATGCTAAAAAAGGAACAACAAATAGGCATTTTAGTATTTTTTACTATCAACTTGTATGAAAAACAATTAGCTAAGCCATTCACCAATATTATGGAATTATATTGTTACCATTACTGATGTTAGCTCAGGCAAGCCCACTTGACCTCTGGGAAAATTACACTAAATACCTGGTCTTATTTAGTTTCATGGAAGAATATATATCCTACCTGCCAAGTAGAGGCAGGACCTGACATACAGGGCAAGAATCTGTTGTTGTATAAATGCACTGGCTTTTATTCCATGGCACAAATAAGCATCAAGGTCACCAAAATGACAGACAGCTGGTGAATAGTGCTTCTTTGCTGCACTGCTTGGTGGGTGAGAGGTGGAGAGGGAGAAGTTTCCTTCCCTACTTTAGGGACACTGACCATTGAGAGCTGCTTAGGTCCTTATCGTAGATGTAACTGCAATGTTGATCTGATGCAGCAGACCAGATTGGTCTAAGGGTGTTGTGTGTGGTGTTTTCTTCCCCATTCTACTTTGGTCATTCAGACCCAGATTCCACTGAGCAGGTTCAGCTAGTAACTACATGCAAAAAACTCAACTGTTGAAGGTATACAGTAAGAAACAGAGCTTGTGCCCATAAAAGATAATCAAACCACATAACAAAACTGTTTCCTTAAAATCCCTTTTTTTTCTTTTCCCTTAGATTTACAGCAGGAAGCACTACAAGCTGCCATATAAACACAGATCACATCACAAGGGTAAATATCTGCCTGTTCTACTCAAACCTAAAAAGAACTTATTAACCTGCAATTATATATTCCTACAAGAAGAAGGGCTCTTAATGATACTTAAACACCTAAAACATAGTTCACAACTACATTTTACTTTACTTCATCATTCAAATGTATTGCCAAATATGTTTGCCTCTAATTAGTGATGTCTTTTAACTTGCAGAATGCCCTTGTTTGAATGGAGGAACCTGCATTACTTATTACTTCAGCAAAATTAGTCGCTGCATGTGCCCAGAGGGATATGCAGGGATTCACTGCGAAATAGGTAGAGTATCTTCCTAAATACTAACAAAATTGACTTAAAAGATCTAAAAAGGAAAATCCTGAATATGAAGTGCCAAGTGAAAGTATTAACAGTAAACACATGACTGGATATCCCTTAGCACTTTATACTAATAGACTAAGTGAGGAGAAACTGCTAAATATCAGTAGAAAATCAGGATCTCTAATTTCTTTGTCCCTGCCTCTTACCTAGTGTTACCTGCCTCCTTACAAATATTTTAGTGTGGGGTGAAAAAAGTGAACTTGTTTGGGAGTAGTCAGAAGCAGAAGAACTGATTATATTGTGAAGTATGCTGAAACTATTGAAGAAGCAATATGCATGTTTTAAAGTATGAGATACTTGATGTTCAAAATTCATATAGAACAATGTTAAGGAGAATATATAAGCAGTCCAGATTTTGCATAATCTGTTTTTAAGGTAAATGCATTAACTTTTTTCTCATTACAAAGATCCATACAGAGCCTTTTTGTCTCAGAACACTTATTAAGAAGAACATGTTACTAACAAAATTATTTTCTCAGACACAACCAGCACATGCTATAATGAGAATGGGGAGGACTACAGAGGAATGGCAACTGAAGATGAATGTCTGCCATGGGACCTTCCCTCAGTAATCAGAAGGGGTCATTACAATGTTTACTCAAATAATGCATTGCAGCTCGGACTAGGCAAGCACAGCTACTGCAGGTAAGAAAAGCCCCAAAAGTGCCTCATGTGATGATACACAACTTAGAAGAACCCCCAGAATGTTATAGAGATTAATTCTGACTAAAAATATTTGAAATGTGACTTTTCAAAATGTTGAGTTCTCACTACTGAAGCTGATTATACTGGAAAATTCCCAGCAAGGAATAGTAATAGCTAATAATTTTCTCTTGTGAATCTTGCAACAGAACACTTTCAGCCATTTCAGAACAGTTAGAATTCTGAGATGCTATGTTATTTTTCAAGTTCTTTTATGAAAATAAGACTTTATCTTCTAGGAACCCAAATGGAAGGGACAGACCTTGGTGTTACACTAAAATGGGATTCTCCCTTCAAGAAACACCCTGTAATATAGAGAAGTGTGGTAAGTAACAGTTTGAGGAAAACTGATAATTTTTTTTTTTAATAGTCCAAGGTTGGTGCTTAGTTATAAAAACATCTGAACAAAATTTCCTTTTTGATAGGCTCTGCATGCGGTCAGAGGAGCATCAACAAGTACTTCAAGATTGTTGGTGGAAGCCAGGCAGAAATAGAGTCTCAGCCTTGGATAGCTGCTATCTTCCAAAATATAAGGGGCATTGACCATTTTCTGTGTGGTGGCAGCCTCATTGACCCTTGCTGGGTGCTTACAGCAGCACACTGTTTTCATACTCCGTAAGTTTACCGTTCTAAATCCTTCTATCTGCAACTTTCTTCAACTGATTTATTTGTGTGATGAACACTGAACAACTCCTGAAAATGTACCATAAGAAGAAGGCTTTTTTGACTGAGCAAAACAAGAACAAAAGCCATAAAAATTAAACCTCTGAGAGTTCAGTTCAAACAGAACAAGTTAGCAAGATGTGAACATTTTGGTGAATTACACAATTTAAACAATTTTATCCTAAATTGGAGCCAGCATGTCATTTTACCTTAGCTGTTCCCTAAGTGGTACTGAAAGACAACAAGCTGTTGAGCAACAGATGTATAGGTGTTTTTTCTTGTTTTCCCTGGGAAAAGCTGATGTGTTCACCTCACTCTCAGAAACCAGTAGTCTTCATGAATCTCTTCATTCTCACTCAGGTCAAAAAAACCAGAAAACAAATTCCTTTACAAAGTCTTTCTTGGAAAGCCTATGCTGAATGCTACTGATGATAAGGAACAAGTATTCATGGTTGATGAAATCATATCTCACCCTGACTTCACAGACGATACAGGTGGCAATGACAATGATATTGGTAAGTGACAACTTAATAAAAGCCTTCTAAACACTGAGGATAGCTATGTAATTATGGCATACACTTTATAAAAGAGAACCAGAGATGAGAAGGGGAACAGGAACCAGGTGCTTCTGAAAACTAGGCCTGTGCTGAGCAAAATTTTTCCACTTCTATAAATTTGGTTTGTGGCACATGGTCAATTACAAGCCTACCTTATCTCTGGATCTGTGCAAGGCATGGCTTTTCCATAAACACTGGTAGTAGCAACATCCTATTACTACCATCTTCTCAAGAGGAGGGGGTTGCCTGTCAGTAGAATGCATGTACACCTGGTCTAGCCATTAAGAAGGGGGCAGAACGTCCTATACACATACAGGACTGTTGCTCTGGCTTGAGCATAATAGGCTCAGAACCTTGTGGAATAGAGATTATATTATTCTATGTTTACAGAAATCACACTGTATGTAAATTATGAAAAAAAGCATGCACAGCCGGTTTCCTCATATAGCAGGGGAATGCCTTATCACATACCACATGGGCTGAAGGTTATCCTGAATTAATCTAGACTTCCCCAACTCTCTCTAGCTTTCACAAACCTATCCCTAAACTAACAGTCAAAGGTGAGTTTTTGCAACATGCACAGAACAGATCTGCTGCTCTTGCGCTTGACACTTAAAACTCTGCCACTCATTCCAAATTCC